CTAGTGCTTTTCTCCTGTGACTGTTCTGAACAAGCTATTGAGAAGACCAAGAAGAGCTGCTGCAGAGATTAGAAGAGCTACAGAAACTGCCTCGTGAAGCAGTGAGAGTATAACTTGGATTCAGAGAGAGAAATTTGATGATGCTGGGGCAGAGACATGTTCAATTTCATTTCATTTCCAGCCTGCTACCAAAGAGGGTTCATTCTGGTGCGAGAGAGGGGTGGAAAGAGGCTTCAGTTTTGAGGAATTCTTCCAGCCTGTTGGGATATTCTGGTGCAGCATTTTCTTCCCATGGACTTCCTGGCAGGTATTGCACTGCTCAGGGCCTGTGCCAGGGTGTGTGGTTGCAGAGCTGGCATATGTCTGAATCCCAGAGGAGGGTGTAACCAAACGCGCATCAGGCTTTGCTGTTTATGCATTTCTGGAGCCACATTTCTTTTTGAGAGTATCTGCTCTGTTATCCTTCATCAAGCCTTCAATCATACACACTACCTAACCTCACTAGTGAAGTGCTGGGTGTCCTTTTAGTCTTCAGTTTAGCCCAGGGGAAGATTCTTCTCCTTTAACTTCAGCTGTCTTCAAGTCAGGCACCTGGTTTAAATCGATCCCAGCTCCCTGCCCTGTCAGTGCAGAAAGCTGGGTTATTTATCCTGCCTTAAGACAGGTGTCTAGGATAGCTGAGGTGACTCACTCTGGCATCGCTTTTCTCTCTCCATTGAGAGCCTAAATGATTAGTTTAGACAAGATGGCTAATTGGGAGCTGGCTAAAGTTAGAGGGGGCAACTCCCACCCACTGCACCGGCTTATGCAGAGCTTACCTTGAAGAACTGGCATTAGTGGAATGGCTCATGTTTACACAGGAATGCATTGCTTGAATGCTCTGATGAAATTGAGCTTTTCTAAGTGCTATTACCACTACATGGGAAGGTGGTGTGGCAAGTGATGGGAATTCAGTGCTCAGGTACAGAGGAACAGCCTATGTCTGTGGAAATTTTGAACTGTCAATCTCATTGCCCAGCTCAGGGCATTTATACTGTTAGGCAGTAATGGATCTACACTTCTGCAGTATGATGGGCAAGACAGAAAAACTAAAACAAATGCTTGTATCCTCTGTTCAATTACAAGAAATTATTCATAATGGCAAGTTGTTCTTTTATACATGAAAATATTTTAGTTTATCTCAGAAATGCACTTTAATTTGTGGAATCAATAACGTCTCCAGACTCTTGTCTCATTTGTCTGCTCCTTTTCTACTCCTCTTCCTCTCCCTGCAACGTTTGTATGATTTTAAATTTTGCAAATATGTATGTTAAGTGTTAATGTTTCATTCCAAGGGATGCATTAATATTCATGGTAAGTATATTCATCCTGTGGCAACAGTGGTTTGACTTTTCTGATGTAATTCACTAATGTATTTTACGTTTGCATTAATGGTGGGAACTCCTGTTTGAATATCTAAAATAGTACCAGAAAAGCACCAAAACACATGCAGCCTCCAGCACCGAACTGATTTCTCAAAGCCCTTGTTCCTCTGGGGCAGAATGCTGGTGGTTTAAGTGGTTAGTAGTAATCCAGATTTTGGGATTATTAAGCCCTCTGAAGGAAGGCTTGTTTTTTCCATGGGTTATATATAAAGTTGGTCGTTACTCTGGATGATGGGAGAGGTACATATGGACCTAGAAGTGTAAAACTTACATGGAATGGAAGAGGGAATGGAGGAGTGGGGGGGGGGGAAGAGAAACAAATGTTTGAACAAGCTACAAGTGGCTGGTGTGGGATTAGTAATTGTATCTGTGTAGTTTAAATTCCCCAGTACAAAATTGAGGGAAGGTGTGCTTCAGAAATACTAGTGCTGTGAGGCAGAAGCAATTGGAACTGCTTAAGTGAACAAAAAAGGACTCTTTCTCTTGGAGCCCAAGAGATTACTGTATACCGTATGGTACAAGGAATATTAAGAAATGAAAGAAAATAATCTGACTGGAAGAGTGGAGTATTGTGGAAGTACAATATTCAACTGGAAGAAGAGATTTAGAGATACAGCTTTGCTTATGACCAGAAGAAGAGTCAAAAGGAAAAGAGTGAGAGGTAGTTTTGCAGCTGTCAGCTGTGTGAGCTGATGTCCCCTAAGTGTTTGGTGTGTTTCAAACACAGCATGACAGTAGTGAATGCAGCATGTGAGATATACTACGTTCAATGCAGAAATTAAGCCTGAGGTGTGGTTTTTGTCTTGAAGTCAGAAAGAGAATCTGATTAAGACTTTGTGATGGACTGAAAGCAGAGCGATCATTGTGATGCTGGGAGAGGTGACTGAGTCCCTGGTAAGAAACCAAGTTCTGGTTACGATCTGGCATGAGAGAGGCAGACTTCAAATGACCCTTTCACAAGGGAATTGTGGTTTGCTGGTGGAACTGACTCACTGCTGAATGAGGCTCACTGGGGTTGTATGGGAATGTGACCAACATTTATCAGAATATGGTGGTTAGAAGAACAGCGCAGTCTCAGGACCTCTTTGAAGGTGACAAGGTCAAATTAGATTTTGTAATTCAGGTGATACAGAATATGTCTGAAAAAACTCCATGAACCATACTCCTGGAAAAGCTCTCTTAGCAATACTAGTTTTTATTATGATTAGGTATGCTTTTTATGGCTGCTTCTGTAGCATTAATGGTTCAAACCCAAATTCTGTGTTTTCACAGCCGGATTACTTAGAAAGGATTTCTACCCAAATCCAGTCTTCAAGGCTCAGATCCATCCTTAAATACACATAGGTCAAAATTCTGGAGTATGCTGCAGTAATTTCTGTAATGGAAAGTAGAGTTTTGCTCCAAGTATCATCCTCACTACTCCAACAACTGGAGTTAGGGACCAGTTATTGTTTGTACTGGTCTACTACTGTCTCACACAATACTGCAAAAAGTAACATTGGAGTGCTTACCAGTATTAACTAAGCGCCAGGGAAAACGTCTACAGTTTCTGATAGTCTCTTTTCTCCATTGCCCAGACCCATCAGGAGCCAAAAATATGACTGTCTGTATTATGATTCTCAGTCTTTTCTATGTATCATTTGTCCAGCAAACAGTGAGGCATCTGGTTTGAAGGCTTGCTGATAGAACAATGGAAAAAAACAGGAATACTATGGTTTTCTTGGTTTGGAATATTATTTGAAAGGCTGGGTACCAAAAGGGTTGGGAATTAGCTATGCATCTAACTTCACTTTCCCAGTTTTCCAGTTCAAGAGAGGGAAAGAAACTTGCAGGTGATGTTGTACACACCTCTCACTCAAAGGAAATATTTTTGCAGGTTTCAAGTTCACTTGTATTTCTGTTCCAGCAGTGGCTTGTTTCAAGGCATTCCCATTATCTTGCATGTCTCTGGCCTCAAAAGACCTTGTGGCAGAGGATTTATTTTGCTTTCTCCCTCTGGACTGTGGACATTGGCTGCAAACTCTTAATGTTTTCTGTGATTTTGATTTTCCCAGCGGCTCTGTATTTGCTTCAGTGCTTAGCACACTCCTCTGAGCAGTGACAGAAGTAATCAGTAGTAGCTATCCAGCTTTCATAAAGCAAGGTATTATTTTTTTCTCTTTATTTTTTTTTTAGAAATAAGCATCAAGCATAAAATGTATTGTAAAACAACACATAGTTTATAAACCTCTAGCTTTTCAGACAGTTACTTTATGGAGATGTTGGTGGGAATAAAGCACTTCAGATCTTCCAGTGATGCCCATTCTTCTTGCACGCTATCTTCTATCAGTTCCCGGGTGAAATATTAATGAATATTAAATCTGGGCAGTAGGTTTTATTATTTGTTTGTTATCCAGGCCTCTCTTATGAAGTCAGACAGGTGGTATACAATATCGAAAAAGACAGAAACTTTGAAAAGCTGGCTGCATGCCTTGCATTTGCACTGAGAACCTGCATGAGTGATTCCCCTACTGAATTTTCATTCCTGCAGAAAAAAACTTCTTATCTGACCCATTTGACCAGAAATACCATCCCTAGCAAACCCTGAGAGATGCACATAACTTGTATGACATCCATCTTCAAATGTTCCTTGTGTCCATTTGTCAGAGGAGACAGTTTAATGCGATAACTGGAACAGCGAAGGTTAACATGCAAATTTTGAGACTTCTCTTTTCAGAGCTGCAATTTGTACATTCAGATTTCACCTCAGCTTTGGTAGCTGCAAGTAGATAAATGGAGGCAGAAAATGTAAATGATTAGTTACTGAATCTTTTGCAGCAAAACGGGGAGATATGAATTAGCCTATGATTTGTGCCTCAATTCATTTGCAAAAATAAAAGGCTATTGGCATAGTAATTAAATTAATTATTTTCCCCATTGGAAGAATGAAAGACTTTAGCAAACGAAGCCCTAAAAGTTTTGCCCTCGTGTGCCCTGTCCACAGTTCTTAACAAGTTTCATAATGGATTTTATCAGCATTAGTGTTACCTGTCATAACTACATAATTACAGCACCTAATTATATTATTACTTATTTACCCTAATTATGTAATTGGTTGTAATTGGTGCAATTACATAACTCCTCAATCAGCTGAAAACTGCTCTAAAACCAGCCTATGTTCATAAGAGTAAAGGATACTGCCGTGCCTTAGACCATCTCC